ACAACAGCAAGAACAACAGCAAGAACAACAGCAAGGACAACAGCAAGGACAACAACAACAACAACAGCGAGAACAACAGCAAGAACAACAGCAAGAACAACAGCAAGAACAACAGCAAGAACAACAGCAAGAACAACAGCAAGAACAACAGCAACAACAACAGCAAGAACAACAACAACAGCAGCAGCAGCAAAAACAACAAAGACAGCAAGGACAACAACAACAACAACAAGAGCAACAACAAGAGCAACGACAGCAACAAAACAACAGCAGCAACAACGAAGCAGCAGCAGCCAAGCAGCAGCGACAAAACAGCAGCAACAAAACAGCAGCAGCAAAACATCAGCAACAAACAGCAGCAAACAGCAACAAACAACAACAACAGCAACGACAGCCACAGCAGCGACTATTTAAATACTACGAAAAACCCCCGAGCACTAATCAATGTGAACACTAGGGGACCCCTAAGATGCCACTAACGTGAATGCTAAGGGACTCCCTTCCCCTTTAATGTGAACACCAGAGGACCCCTAAGGCGCCTGTGATGTAAACACTAGAGGACCCCTCGCCTTTAATGTAAACACTAAACCTAAAGGACCCCTAAGACGCCTCCCAAGTAAACACTGCAGGCCTTTTATGCTGCCACATTTTCAAGAGGAATCGGTGGCAGTACTGCCATCTTCCTCTTGTATTTAAAGCCTGCGCGCCCCCGCTCCCCTTTGCCGCAGCGCGGAGGGGAGTGCGCGCCCTTCGGGCGCCCGTTTCACCTTGTGAAACCATTCACCCCCACCCACGTCCCTAAAGTATCCCTTTCCCCTCCTTAACGTCTCCCGGGGCACCCGGGCCCGGGGAGTATCTTCTATTGGAATATACTTGAAACAATGTTTATATAATACCCAGATGGTTCAGCACGTTGACCGAAGCTTTGGCTTGCAGCAGCATTCGGCACGTATTTGCGTTTCCATAGTGTGCTGCTACGTGCAATGCAGTGTTGTTTTTCTCATCGGTTTTTTCTGGGGAACAGCCGATCTCCAACATTAGTAGAACAAAGAGAAATCCATCTTCAGCAGCGTCGTTCTTGAGTTGTCTCTTTTTCCCTCTAAAAACGGGACCAAGTGATCGATGCTGGGGCAGATGGATTTCTTGTAGCCTTAACAACAAAGTTTTGATCACTGGGACTCCAGCGTTGCGCTTCACAGCCTTCAGCAATGGACTGACTGGGTCCCGTCGTTCGCGGGCGCCCATGTAGTTGTACTCCCCTGCTCGTTGTGCGCCAAACCCCGATCGCGTAGGACTGCGGCCACGACGAGAGCCTGGCGAAGCAACAAAACTGGCTTCGGAAGTCATTGAGCCAGCTGCGGTCATCATGACGCCCGAATGACCCCAAGAATGGGCCATAGATTGCTGCTGCTGTTCCAAAAGTTGGTACTCATTCGGCTTCTTTCGTGTGCTTAAGTCAGCGCTCGCGCCCTCGTTTATTAGTGTATCGATCACTTTCAAGTGGCCCTGCGTCGCGGCTCGCGAAAGAGGCGTGTCACCCTCGACGCCGACAATGTTGGTGTCAGCCTTGGCAAGAATCAAATGCTTCATCATCACCATCTGTCCACGGTGAGCGGCTGAAGGATAGGAAATTTGTAACATGAGGAAGTGAGAGAGGGTGCTCTAAGATGATAATCCTTCCTGTCTTTCATTACTTACGCGCCTCTACTCAGCATGCGGAATTGTTCATGAAATATTATAAACCAAGATTTGACTGATTTTTCGCAAGATTATACACCGCAATCATGGCGCCAAATAAAAAGTGTACTGAAGATGTTAGTGTACCAATATGAATCGGTGCAAAGTGTGATGATGGTGCAAAAAAAGTGTACCAATATGAATCGCGCTGTTTTCCGTCAGTCGGTCAGTCAGATTCACGTCAATGCCGTGTTTGCACAGGAGTTTCACCACGCCCATTGCAGAACGCTGGACAGCCAGATGCAGTGCCGTTCTGCCATATGCATCGCGTGCATCGAGCTCCACGCCACCCATAATCAAGCCTTGAGCCTTCCCCATATCGTTCTCACGAATAGCGATCAATAAGTCTTTACCAAGACCCTGTCGTGGTTTAGTAAGTAACCGGATTGGTGGAGGTTTCTTTAGCAGGTAAGAAGCTGCTACATCTTATCATCAGCTGTTGACTACTCCAATTCATTCGTAACATAAAATCATGAACCAACACGCCAGTTGACCACAACAAACAAGAAATTTGAAACACACACACGTAATTCAACAGTGAAGCAACGACGAACGGCAACCGCTTACAGAAGGTCAAACAAAGATCATCAAATAAGACGAAATAGCATTTTTAAATCTAAATGCCTTGAAAAGTCTGGCGCGCGTCTCCTCTTCTGTCGCTGGCACGCCGTTGTTTCCTGGGGAACTCTTGCTCGGAGATGGAGCAGCAGTAGACTCCGTGATGGGAGAAAGATCTTTGTTGTCCGACATTGTGATTATTTGTCTTTGTCAGGACAAGTTGTTATGAGCTTAGTTCAGTAGGTTTAGTTAGAGGAATTATCGTGAGGTTAGATGATTCAAGAAGTAGAAACAAAATGTGTGGTATCGGAATGGGTATGATGGCTTCACAGTTGCTTACTTTTATGTACTTACTGCTAGTAGAGTGTATGCTTGTCCCTAAAATACATTCCCGTTACGTCCCAAAAACAAATTATTATACCTAAAGAACTTAATTCTTTGTCCCTAAAAAATCAATATTAGTCGTTTCTATTAATTTCCCTATGTGTGGGTGGGTTTTTCCATGAAGTGCCCTGTTGAAGTTTTTTGTGATTGGAATTGTTTAAGCAGAGCGATGGTGAGGAATATGCAGTAACGCATTCTCATCGAAATTAATCCAAAATTCTTGAACAAGCTCTCCGCCCAGAAGTGCATGATAGCCGACAGCGCAAATGATCAAGGTCTCTATAATCAAGGTCTCTCCATAGCAAATGATCAAGGTGTCTCACGACAGAATGAACCCGAGGACAGATCATTTACTCAGACTCTGGAGGCATGCCTGCCTGCGTGTCCTAAAAAACCTCCTCTCTCTCTCTTATACACAACGCAACAAAAAAACAGAGAAGTCTGGTTACTCGAAAAAACAGAAAAGACGCCCTCTCTTTGTCTCTCTCGCACAGACATTTTGAATCATGAAAACAGAATTCTTGGCTTCTCAATCTACTCTCTCTCTCCCTCTCTTGAAAAACAGAAAACATTACACAGCGAAAGGGTACAGGTGTGGCGAAAAAATCAGTTCGCTTACTTTAGATGGACAGATCGATAACTCACTTGTAAATCAGCCACAGCCTTCGTTAGACTTCCAGAACAGCATTCGAAGATCAAGCTGTGGAAGAGTTTGGCGGTTTTCATTGATTACAGCGTTTTTGCTTCCGGCGAGCGCATAACTGCCTAGCGTCTTAGCTTGAACGATTACGCAAAAAAGTTGGTAGTACTTTTGTTGGTAGTTCTCTTGAAGAGGATTGGTGGATAAGATGGATTGATACTTAGGTACAGATTACTTCATCGCTAAAAAAATTCTATTACTTTATTTTAGGTAGATTCATTTCAGAGTGAAAAAGCTGTGCTTTATTCGAAGCAAATAAAGGTCGGCGATATCATCAATACAGAAGTTCAACAACCCAAGTTACTCATTATCAGGCTAGTTTTAGCTTACTTTTCATTTTGTTTCGGGTTGCCAATTTTTAGAGCTTTCTCTTCTCTCTTTGCCTCCTCCCTCGTCTCTCCTCTGCTGCTTTCAAGTACTTCAGTGTCTTACCATGTTCGGTTCTCCTCACTGTTGCTGCGAGGCACGCCAGATAATCCCTCCTCTTGCTGCCTCTGGAGTCGGCACGCACCTTACTGCAGCGCTAGACCTCGCTGCCCTCCTGGATGCGGGGAGATGCAGGAAACCTCGCACTTATCTTCTTCCAGCAATAAATTTTTACACAGTAGTTCGCATTTGTGCGAAAAGATGCATCACCCTGGCAATCGATATGGCGATCTCGCCTTTTTCTCCTGTGCGGTCGTGGCTTCAATAATATATTCTTCATTTCTCCAAAAAATGCGTTAAGTACATCTGAGTGCTCATTTGTTGTTGTAGTTCTTACGTTTTCACTTCATGCTGATGACATAATACCCAAGCCCAACCTTTTCTTTGGTGGGTCAAAATAATTCCCAACTATATTTTTCAGAGTAATTGACACTCATTGTTGTAGTAAGTAGTTTCCAATTCCTTTACCTTTTTGTTCATTTTCAGCCTAACCACTTTTTTCTTGAAAAATTATAATTCGATAAAGGTCTCACAGCCGTGATCTTTTCCGTCTGTGATGATGATCGTCCTTGGCAACTATGCATCATTGTCGTGATTAGGATTACTCTTACCGACTGACTGCACTTACACAACATGCAAATCTGGCGAGCTCCAATAGGACTTGTTTAGTTCTTCCTTGTACATGATCACACTTACAACGAACTACAGATAATTGACTGTGCGGACCACTTTGTATCTTCCGGCTAGCTCGAGTATAAATACTTATCACAATTATCTTGCCAGCAATTCATTTCAAAAATTGATTTCTACTTCCAAAAACTTCAAAATCCGATCTACGTACAGTCACAGCGCCATCCAAAAATTCCAAAATCCTGATCTTCTCAATCCACATCCACTTAAGGCGTAACCAAGAAACTACTTCTGAGAACTGTTTCCAAAATCTTTACACAAGGAAGTCAGTCTCCTCCAAAACTACTTCTGAGAGTTGTAGTGTGAGTCAATCTGTAACTGTCTCTGATCTAAGAACATAGCTACTTCTGAGAGACGTGTGGCCCCCATCTTCCTTTGTCATGTGCCTATCCCTGATAGAGGTAAGTCCTCATAGGGATAATTCTTTTACGTATGCCTGCTTCTAAGAAGTGCGCTGACTGAGAATCTCAACCCAAGTAAATCCATACTATCTTTTTTTTTGTAGTGCGAGCGAGTTCCGATAAATCAAAACCTACCGGAGGTTCCTATCAATACTAAGGAAAGTAGAAGTCTTCAGATTAAATACAATTGTGCGCTATCCGCGTTCGAGCCTCTACTTTTTATGCATCGCTATCCTATGGCTTTGTTCTAATAATAAGCGAAGATATACAAATAGTACATGATATGTGCCATATTCAAAGCATAGCTCTACCTTCCCTGAAATCCATCTCAATGTTCCTAAGAAATAGACTGAGTACTTTCCCACCTCCATTCTAATACTTACATGTTGATCACGACAACATGATCCATCTTCACAACATGATCCAGGCACTCTGCTAGCCCTTCGTATGGCACCGATGAACCGCCAAACGCAACAAAGCGGCCGCAGCAAAGACGCAAATCAAAAGCAGCAAACTCGACTCACCCGGCAGCGCTGCTGTGTTAGAAACGAGCTACGAGTATTTAGTACGATAAGAACCCCTTTGGGGCCTCCAAGTATCTAGCCCGATAGGATTCCCTTTGAGGCTTCAAAATCAATCACAAGCTTAGCCTGCGTCTGTTTCATGCATCCTTCAGAGTAATGCGTATCCTATGTGTAGGGTAATATTATCACTATTCTCTATTCATCCTTTAGATTCATACGCGCACTCATACGCATATGCATCCTTAAGGGCCCTTGAGATTCAACATGTTGTATCCTTGACACTCAACATGTATCCTTGAGACTCAACATGCATCCCTGAGACTCAACATGCATCCCTGAGACTCAACATGCATCCTTGAGACCGATGACTCATATCTTAAAGAAGTACACTGTGCTCAATACACTAAATTCTAAGAGCCTTAAGAACTGCCTGCGCAGTCAAAGACCTCAGCCGCGGTGTAGAGGCCGTGTTCTTGTCGTAGGGTGTAGAGGCTGTGGCGGTGCTGCCACACGACCCAAAAAAGCCACACGACTTCCCCGCATTTTCATGACCTGAAAGTTATTTGCAGATAGCTAATCTCTAAGTAAATCAATAAGAAGATGTTGAAAACTTCAAGTGTATGAAAAATGCGATTGCGAGAATATCAATATTAAATTAAACAGACAGTAAATACAATTGTGGCGAATCTTATCTACCAATGCCAAGTTGTAACAAAATAGCTGTACTCATCATGATGGAAGCAAGTGATGTTGATGAACCGACGAAGACCAAAGACAGGATATTTCATTAAACAGATGAAGGTGGAAGCAAGTAAGAAAATAGTGCTCACTACCTACAAAAACTACAGTAAAGCAAATGCTCAAGATTACCATTTTTGGTTATCGGCTGTCATTTTCTTACCGCTGTCATCATGAAGGGAATAATATTAAGAAGGAATAATAGGAGCCAGGAATACGCTTTTCCAAAAAACCCAAACTCGCATCCTTTCCACCTCTCAGCCGCGGTTTCCAAGTCGTCTTCCGATCATCTCCACACCACTGCAAAAAGCCACTGCCAGGACCACATGAATGAACATCTGAGTGAAGTTTTGTTGTAGCGAAAATTAATCATGTGTAACGCTCATACACGTAGTCTGTACATTCTACGCACTGACGTTGATTTGGCTAGGGGAGTGCATGACTTGGGTAACGAAAGTCGGAATCGGATTTGGTGCTGGCGTTTTTCGATGTCGTCTAGGTAAGTGGTAATAGCATAAAATATGCACGTGACCCATGAATATTGCAACAATATTCATCGACCGAAGGGAACAAGACGCGGAGAGTTCTTCGGTCGGAAAATTGCGAATGCACTAAGAAAAGGGTCAATCAATCTCCTTTGATTGTAAGTCTATGTTGCGAGGCGTCAACTTCTAGCCGGATCGAGAGGCAAGCCCATGCGCATAAGGAGGTTTTTTGGCAAGCATTTGGTGTTAGTCTACCCAGTTCGTTCGCCCTTCCCCCCTTACGAAAGACAAAACTCACGACAGCAGGAGCACCTACAACCTACGTACCGTTAAAAAATTAAAGTGCACAAAGTAAGGAGTCTACCGGCCACAACTGGGTTTGCGCGAGTGTTGACCCGATCGTGATCCTGCGATGGTGTTCGTGGTGAAGTTGCTGTAGCATGCCTCAGCGGTTCCACCTGAGGCCTCGGCGGGTCTTCTCTTGCACTCTCCTTGGCCTCTTCCTTTGCCGGTCTCGCCGCGGCCTCTTCCTTCGTCTCCTCCGTGGCCTCTTGGTCTGCCAATTCCGCCACCGCCTCTTCCTCCTTCTCCTTCTTGGCCTCTTCCTTGGTCTCTTTCTTGGTTTCCTTCTTGGTCTTCTCCTTGGCCTCCTCCTTGGCCTTCTTTTTGGCTTTTTTTTTGGCCTCTTCCTTGGCCTCTTCCTTTGCCGGTGCCGTCGCCGCCTCTTCCTTCTTCTCCTCCTTGGCGTCTTCCTTTGCTGGTTCCGCCGCCGCCTCTTCCTCCTTCTCCTCCTTGGCGTCTTCCTTGGCCTCTTCCTTTGCCGGTGCCGTCGCCGCGTCTTCCTTCTTCTCCTCCTTGGCGCCTTCCTTGGCCGCTTTGTCGTTATGATCAACAAAAAGGAAATCGACTTAGGGCCATGGCCATAGCAGTTATCAATAGCACGAACATACTTTTTTCTGGTGGGCTTGCTTGGTAGTTCATCTGGTGCAAAGTCGATCAACTGAGACAATCCATATTCCCACTGCTAAAAAGTACTAGAAGTTACTCATTTACTTCAGCAATTATGATATTATTTAAGTACCTTGCCTCCGTTCTTGTTGACACGTCCGAAACGTGGCCCGTGCTGCCTCGTCGTAAACCGCGGTCTTCGGCAATTACAGTTAGCGGCACCCAATTGACCTACTCAGCATGGCGCATATGGTCTACGAGCTTCGTGCGCTAGACGCATCCTTTGACTGATGTGCTTGAAAATAGGTCAATCGGCAAGTCTTAATCAACGTTCCTCAAATATTGGAAACCTCCAGGCGTGTCTGCCATTCCCTGCGTATTCTTATGCTGATACTGCGCTTCAGCCAGTGTCTGCGCCTCACGAGTCATTATTTCCCCTGCCTTCTCTTGCGCTGCTTTCAGTAGACAACGAAGCTCGTCCGCTATTGCCTCGTCTAGCGTGTTTCCTATGATGTTCGTGGTGGGGTGGATGGTAGTCGGATTATCAAGAAACCAATACTGGTTCTGTGTGTGTCTGTAAACTAGTTGTCAACAGAACTCGACTTACCTCTAGATTAAAGATCAGCTGTATACATTTGCTGTAAACTAACATGCACGAAAAACATTGACGGACTGCTTGACTGGCTGACTGGCGAACCTATGAGGTGCTACACATCTCTATGTAAGTTTTTGCAGTGGTGCTACGGTAATTTTGTTATACTGTGTTTCTCATCGATCGCGATCGCACTTTCAAGTGCCCCAGCAAATTTCGGATATGCTGCATGGCGTCCGCCCTGTGAGCCACGAAATGTTAGAAGACTGACCAACCTGCGCCATCCCATCACCAGCTTCTCCGTCTCGTTTTTCCGTGGTGCCTACAGGCACGAAATTGGATAGAAAGCAAGCAAGGAAATCGAGTTTCGAAGCCTAAAATGAAAGCGCACACTCACAAAGCGCCAGGTCAGCCGTAAATTGTCTTGGCGCTCTAGGTCAGAGCGCTCAATCAGCTTATACTCCTTCAGCTTTCCTCCATTCTCCGTATTCTCGAGTCTGAGGACGATAGCGATACTAGTATCGGTTTCAGGAGCGTGCGCGGACTTTTCCTGTTAGAGGTAGGCTCTTGGCGTTAGCCTCCGCGATTAGTTATGTCTTACCCTCTCATAGCAGGTAAAACTAACGGCAACGGGAACACCTAAAGCCTATCCTTAATCGGGCGTTTGAGTTTGGCTCCATCCGATCTTTGCTCTCCATCCAGTTTCAATTGTTCCATCAACACCCGCAATCGGAAACTTCTCCGCAATCGGAAACTTCTTCTTCATAAAAAATGTGCCCAGCGAAACCATTTTCTCTTCGTTTTCGATGCTGTGATATTGATACTCATTGTGATCAGAAAGAGATAGTTCAGCGAGGTTCTTGCTTCTATTACGATCCATATCATTCAGAAGTAGAAGTGCCTACTAGTACGCTATAGTAGTCCTGCTCAACGTCAGCGGCAACTATGCAATGTGTGACGAGTAGATGCGCCGAACCCCTTATTTAAAAGAGTAAGGCAGAAACCGCGCTCTACTTACACACGTTGCTGACCCAAGAACAAGACTCCCTTTATTCGGAGGTTTGTTCTCTCTTATCGTCACCACCAAGAGATGGATGGCGTACTTCAAAAAATTTAAGGCAAAGTCCTTAATTTATGATTACCCGATCGAACTCTGCAAAATTTCCTTCAAAGCGCGGGCTCCGTCAGAGTTCTCTTCATTCGTGTCACCCGCGAGTTTTGAGCTACCACTCCAAGCGTTTTTGAGGTCGTTCGCAATCTTCCCCATCATGCAGTCGTTGAATGCGGCTCCTCCAGTTGGTTCTTCAGTCGGTTCTTGTGTGTCCTCGCTGCTCCTTTTATGTGCTTTAGAGCTCACCTATATCCATCCTGGAGCCCATCTTGGAGCTCTTTTCCCCTTAGCTTACGGGACAGCTCCAAGTTGCTTCAGCAGATGAATTAGGGAACGCCTTAAGCGCTACATCGATGAGGCATTCAAGCTTGTTTCGCGGAGCAAACTCACCTTTTGCGATATATGTTGCTAATGTTTGTTCATTGATGGCTGAATGAGCAAAATCTACTAGCTTGAGAAAAGTAAGAGACTGACTCTGTAGACAAAGACTTTGGACGTGTTCAGCTTCGTCTTATCTACACGTGTGGCAAGTAGAAACTATCACCATCTATGATGGAAAATAGAAAACGGCCAAGAAATGAGTAGGAGCAAACGACCACGAGGAAGCAGCACTTAAGTACTCCTACTTTCGACTCCGTATATTGCATTCCCTTCTGCAGCCTCAAGCGCGTGACTGAAGACAAAACTTAGAGGCTGGAATCGGGTTAAGGTAAGATAGGATGTCTAGGCTCCGCCGTTGGGGTTGCTCCGTTCCATCATGAATCTTTCTCGGATGACCTGATCATCTCTGTTCCAGAGACAGAAGGAGCCACAAGCAAGGGTATGGACCATAGATAGAATCGAGCAAAAAAAGTCTTAAACTCCGCGCACTGGATATCGTGGAGAAATTCAGACGGGAATAGCTTAGGAGCGTCTCCAAGAACTTCACCTCAAAGCTCTTCCAGGGGTTTCTCAACCAGGTGGACGCAATGCTTTTCGACGTTGGGATCTCACAATCCAGCGTCTGCTTCACAAACTTCCTCAATTTCGGCCAAGCAGACCTGTCGTGTGGAGCGTGTCAAGACAGAAGATTTCATATCCAAATACTAAGTAATGTGCCTATGCTTGCGCGATAAGTACTTCTAGTGCTGACGTCGGATTTTCGACAACAGTTTTGAATTCACAACCAAAAAAAGATATATTGGATGTAGTCGTAGCGGTGGTGAGGACCCTGATATTAGTTAGAGTAGCGGGGGTAGCAGCGGTAGAAAAACCACCCGGAGGCGGGGACAGTCGTAGCAGTAGGCATAAGAGTCGTGGCCCGAGTAGTAGTGCTCGTGCGGAGCATTTGTGGAATTTGAAGCCGGCAAACCGGCGCCACCCATGCTTCGAGCACTCATAGACCACAGCAACACCAATGAAAAGAGCAAGAGAATAGAGCAAGGACACGCAGGGGCGTAACGACTGCTTGCCCCACGAGGTCTAGGCCCCGCTGTGGGTCGCGAACTGGGCCCGGCAATCTCTCTCCCCGCTCTTCACGGCAACGCCCCTGCCGGTCCTGAATCTAGAACCGCCGGCGGCCCTCTGTCCTCCAAAGTGGCCTTTTCGGGCCAGCGCTCTTCACCTTCGGGTGGATTTAAATCAAAGCCCGGCCGCGGCTCTCTCGCGCAGGCCCTCTCGTCCAAATGGGCGAGTCTCAAACAAGACAGCAAAAGGCCGACACCTGGCAGCGGTACTAGCTATGACTCAGGCACCAAGCTCGGCCACCCCTGGCCCGCTGCATGGCCGGACGCCCGACCACCATGACGCCCATTGATTCCGCACAGAGACAAGCGCACCAGCGCCATGCCCCACAAGCTAAAAGAACACCGATTGTCGTACGGTGAGGGTCGGTCCTGAGGTACTGCCCCAGGCGGTTGCGCCTTGCGGAGTCGCGGCCGGATCCGGCGGTGACTCGGCATCGGCTGGGGGCTGGGCGGTGTAATCTTCAGGCGGGGCTCGCTGCGGGGCTCGCTCCACCTCGCCCCGCCTTGGTTGCGGGGTTGCTGCAGTTATCAATATTAATAAGAGCAATAAAACTTTGCAAACACTTCCCCGCCGAAGCCTCAACCTCCAACACCCAACCCCACAACCTCCGACACAAAAACAAACAAACCCCAAACCCATGAACCCATGAGATGAACCCACGAAACCAGGAAACCAGGAAACCAGGAAACCAAGAAACCAGGAAACCAGGAAACCAGGAAACCAGGAAACCAGGAAACCAAGAAACCAGGACACCAGGAAACCACGAAACCGCGAAACCCTGAAGCCATGGAATTGAATTCCAGAGAATGAAAGGGCTTCAAATCAAAAGTCTTTGGATCTTAGCACGTCAAACTCACGAGACTCAACCTCAAAACGACGAAACACATGGAAAATTTTCGAAATTTGAAAAACAGAAACCCAAGCAATTGAATTCCAGGGAAAGGGCTCAAAGTCAAAGTCAAAAGTTTTGGGGTCTTAGCACTTCAAACGCACGAGGTCCAATCTCAAAACGACGAAAAACTTGGAAAATTTTCGAAATTTGAAAAATGCAAATCCAAGAAATTGAATACCAAGGAAAGCGCTTAAGGCCAAAAGCTTTGGGATCTTGGCCCTTCTCAAAACGACGATAAAACGTGGAAAATGTTCGAAATTTGAAAAACGCGAACCCAAGGATTTGAATCTCAGGGAAAGGGCTTAAAATCAAAAAACTTTGGGATCTTAACGCTTCAGACGCACGAGATTCAATCCCAAAACGACGAGAAAACGTGGAAAATTTTCGAAATGTGAAAAACGCGAATCCAAGGACTTACTTCTCACGAATGGAAGCAAATGACAGGACTGCTCCCAAAGCCAGAAACTGGGTCCGACAAAGTCGAGCCCAGTCAACCCTTATGACCTCAGATGGCCTCTTAAATCCTCCAAACATTACTAAAACACCAACGAACTCGGAGGACATGACTAAAACACCAACAGGGAGGGAAAGAGATCGCGGAGAGATCTAAGGGGAGAGGCTTCCTGTCACTTGTTCCAAGCGCGTATGACTTACCGCAAGCTTACGCGCACATCAGGCGCAAAGCCATGACTGTATGCAGGTAGTGGGAGGGCGGGAGAAGAAGCTTAGGATAAAAACAAACTAAGCACTTACTTATATATTTTAACTTTTTTCCCGTATTGTTGTGGTACAAGCTGCCCTTTTTATACTGTTTAGCGATAATTATGCTAATCAACTTGGGGCTTCACGAAACGCGCGACAAGCACTTGGGGCTTCACGAGAGAAGCGAACGCTGGCGCCGGGGACTACCCCGACTGATCGGAGTCTAGACTCCAGCCCGAGCGAAGGGCGGGACAGACCCTGGCGCCAACTGGGAGATGCGGACTTCGAGAAGCCCACAAAAACCACACATCAACTCAGACGCCTTACATATAGGCAAGCTGTCTGACTTAAGACTAAGAGTCTCAACCTAAATATTTCTAGCGTCTTTGATTTTTCCCATCCTTCGACAATAAGCGCGCCGATAGGTGAGACCCGAGACATTGACTGTCATGCTCAGACTTATAGACTTCGAATATTTTGCGCCTTCGCATTGGTCTCGACCAACAGCCTCGGCTTTCAGACTTTAAGGCTTTGAGGCTTTGAGGCTTCGAAACTTTAAGACCTTGAGACCTTGAAACTTTGAGGCTTTGAGGCTCTGAGGCTCTGAGACTCTGAGACAGACTTTGAGGCTCTGAGGCTTTGAGACTTTGAGACCTTGAGGCTTTCAGACTTTCCCAAGACGTTGGGTTTTTGCTTTTAAACCTCTTGAGACAACGCACAAGCATCGCAAAAGGGGGGGGGCTGCAAAGCCCCTGCACCACAAGAAACTATGCACTTATTTATATACTTTAACTTTTCTCCCGTATTGTTGTGGTACATGCTGCCCTTTTTATACTGTTTAGCGATAATTATGCTAATCAACTTAAACGATCACGCTGCTCTTTCTTCTCCTTCGATGTTACGAATTCCTTCTTTTTCGTGACTCCATATTTTTCTTTCGCTCGTGTTAGACGATTTTTTTTATACGATCGCGAGCAAGTACGACGGGCACTTATTTTCGAAGTTTGAAGATTATGGCTTTCTTTTGGCTGCTGCTCCTATCATGTCGCAGCAGTCTCTTACCCCAGTCATCTCCTTCCACCCGGAGAAATAAACTACGCAGTAATAGCAGGCTCTTCCTGCATTAAATTAAATTCCAAGGAAAGGGCTTAGAGTCAAAAGCTTTGGGGTCTTAGCACTTCAAACGCACGAGATTCAATCCCCAAACGACGAAAAAACGTGGAAAATTTTCGAAATTTGAAAAACGCGAAGCCAAGAGATTGAACCTCAGGGAAAGGGCACAAAGTCAAAAGCTTTGGGGCCTTAGCACTTCAAACGCACGAGATTCAATCCCCAAACGAAGCCAAAACGCGGAAAATTTTCGAAATTTGGACAACGCATATCACTCACATCTTTGCCGTGCTTAGTTTCTCACTTTGGGGAGGAGGGGAATCCTAGTGGGAGGGATGTTATCGGACGCTCATAGCTAGTATGACGAGGAACCACGAGCCAAGATGACACGAGTGGCACTCTGCTAGACTACTTCTTATTGATAGCACTGCTTTTAGGCTGGTGACGTCAATAGTACGTTTCCGCTGCGAGCCCACCCGCATGTTCCAAATACTCCACTAGAACATCATTTGCTAACGGCTGGAGACCACTATTGACAGCCTGTTCAGTAAACTCTCCGCCACCCCAGAAAGCCCCAAACACATTTTGAAGCTGTTTCATATCCTGTGCTTGACACTTGCCGCCTGTCAGCTTCTTCCTCGCCTGGCCCAGCAACTTCAGGAGTCCCCCCTCGCCATCTGTCTCGGAGATGTCTGTTGGATTTAGGATTTGGCATGAATGGTGGACACGCTTCTTGTTTTGAAGTAGGTGGAGAGGTTTGCCGCTTGGATGAAAGCAAGGAACCTGTCGTGGAGGTGTTTCTTTGGGGGAAAAGCATGCAGCAACAAGCGACCAGTCACCTGTTGTAAAGATGTTTGCTGTTTAGATGAAAGCACGCAGCCAGAAAGCAGCCAGCCAGCGCGCTGCTTCTTCAATTTGTTTGGGGAAGTCAGAGTATGCTAAATATTGCTTCGCATCATGCTGCTGTCTGGCGAGGGTTCTTCTTCCCACTTATTTTCATTGGCATTGCTTGCGCGCTTTGCTGAGTGTTGTTAGACCTAAGCCGGGCCTACTTCTTAAATGCTAGCAGTCCTGTGAGCCGTATTCAATTTGCAGCACCCATTGACCAACGAACCGGTCGCGGAGGTCTCCCTAGTGTTAGTTAAAGGCCCGCGGACGTCTCTGACAGCATGGTCCGGCGTCTTTCATGCGTGAGTATCACAATTCTTTTCCTTGTGCTATGTACTCATAGTGTTAGTGTGGTCTTCTGAAGTGAATTCTTTTAGCTAGCCTCTTCTGAAACTGTTGCTCTGCGCGATCGAACGACTATCCGAGAAAAGAGACAAACGCTACGAAATCAATCTCGGCACACTGCAGTACCGTTTCCTGCTGCAAAAGTGTTCAGCGCCGAAGCAAACTGCTTGTAGGCATCCTTTTTTCCTTTGCTGCCGTATCCGTAAAATTGGAAGTTTCTTGTTAGACGTTGCGCCCTTTCTTCGATTTCCAGCAGCCTGCTACTTTCAAGATAAGAAAGTAACGAACTAGATAGAGTAGCAAAAGAGTCACTCTTTTTCTACTCTATCCCATCCGGTATCTTCTCTTCTCGAAAAAAGCAAGATGAGGGCCTCAACAAGTAAACTAGAAGGCAATGGCGCCGCCATATCTATGTGGTCCAATAGGTAAACTAGAAGTCAGTAAGGTGATTCCCGGTGGCCTTCTAAATAGAATGGAAGTCAATGAGTTGAAACGAGGCGGCCGTCTGCTTAATACTGCTAACTAAATGGCTAGATTAATAGAAGTCAAGCACACGCCCACACCAAAGGGCCGTAACTTCAGGGCGTCACCTTCGATCAAGATGGTTTTAGGTTGTATCGTGTCCCCAAGCTTCGTTGTGTCAAAAACGATATTTCCAGTCTCCTTTTCAATTTTAAACACGATCTTTGCCGTGTTTGATTAGAAGTCACTGCCCTCATTCAATTACTCAGTTGGCAGTTGAAATAGGGATTTGGAAGCATGGTCCTACCGCAAGCAACATAAAATTTCTAGGGTTAATTCGCTCACCCGCCACCCGAGCCTCTATGGAGTAGCATGATATCAGTGCAAGAAAGACACTCAAGGAAATCCCTAAAAAGTTACATGGTTCATTTCCACAATCACAACAAAGCGAGGTGACGAATGCGTCGTCTATTCTAAATTTATATTTAGATAACAGCAAGAACTTTGCGACACTGAATCCTTAAGAGCACTCTCCGGAATCCCAGTAGAATTCCCCCACTTGTGGCGAAACAGGCGCCACATTTTGGAAAAGCTCTTTGAACTTCTCGAGAGTTGCAGCGCTGAATATTGTGCAGTATTTAATGAAATAACCCGGTAAAGATCAAGCGTTGTTCTTTCTGTATCTTTCATCAAAGGGCGATCAGATGGAAGCGAAAATAGATCCAAAACAAAGTAAGTGGTCTGAAACTAAATCTTATCTAACCCAGTACATCTAGCAACGTTCAAATAATATACTTCTCCTCTCCGAGTGCAGCGCTCAAAATGTCCTTCAAAGCCAAATACTCGGGTTCATCAAAGGGCCCAGTCCGGAGTTTGTCAGCAACAGCCTGAGCAATCCATTGACACCCACCGTCACCTGTGCTCGTTCTCCTCGCTTGTATCAGCATGCCCGCGATGCTCTTCAGCCTTTGTTGATCACCTGTGTAGTTGGAGGAAAAGCGTTCCGCTAGATGAAAGGGACTCCTCCTACGTGCATCTTAAACATGGTTGAGGAGAACTTAGCAAGATTGGCGCATATGTTGGGACACCCTCTACATCCTTAGCATAATTGGTGGGTCTGTTGGAGTACCATTACTCTCGTCATGTGGAAGAAGCTTCTCTCCGAACCAATCGGGCTTGAAAAACGTGAAGCTCGCTGTTAGACGCTGCCTGCTGACTTCTATTTCCTACCGTCGAGCCTTTTTCTTTTTGAAAAATCGAAGGTATAAAATAAAGCACGATGAGAGCCAAAAGAGTGAGAAACTAGATAGGTGAAATACTAAGTAGCCTAGGTGACTAAGGTGGCCGGCGACCCGAGGTAGTCTTCTCAATGGAATAGACGCCAACAAGTTGACCCTAGGAAGCCCACTAGGTGGTCAAATCAATAGAAGTCACCAGCGTGCCTTAACTCTAGGTCGTCTTTGCTGATCAGAGCAGTCTTCCGGGTATTCGCTTCGAAAACGATATTACCCGCAGTGGTATCGAATGCGACTCTTCCATCTTTTAGTTAGAGGCCTGCAGAATACGATGGTGAAGATTATGATGATGGTGATGATGCTGATGATGATGATAATAATAATGATGATGAGTGAAAATTTACTGAGAACTATGATTGTGACTAGTTTAGAGAGAATGCTAACGCGCAATGCTCGCGCAACTACTTTCGAAATTATCGACGAGTGATTTTATCGATGAGGAGTTTTTGCATTCTTGACTTTTCTACCTCTACAAAGGAGTGCAGTGAATGCGTGCGATTTTATTATAGAAGAGGACGCTTTTACAACTGAATCCTTAAGCACAGTTGAAGTCCGTCGAGCTTAAACCGCCACCTGCGTTCTTTCGCCTGGCAAAGTCGTTCAGAGCTTGCAGTTTCTGTCCCGTCCTGTTGTGCAGTAATATCTGATGAAGCAGAAGATGTTGAATACGGTCCACAAGCTCTCTTCTATTATCATCACAAAAAACTATTACTAGATCAGAGATACTGAGGAAAAGAAGTCATTATCATAATAATACCCTTGTTCTTGGTCCTCGCTTAGTGCAGCATTCAGAATTTCCTCCAAAGCCTTTGCTGCTTCTTCGTCCTCCTTTGTCTCACTCAGTTTCCCTGCAACCTTCTTCATGTCGCACGGCTTGGGCTGACCATAAAATTAGGGGCTAACGCAAGCCAGAATTTGAGCGAGCTCGAAGCTTACTCTGCCTGCGGTCACAGCCAGAATGCCCGACTAGCCCACCAGTACTAACCCGAATGCTTTCTAGAAATCACCGACGCACGAAAGTGGTAAGAGGTCGCGATAAATGCATGATAGGGGCCAGCAATCTGGCTGTGAGCGTAGGGAGAGTAAGGTACTAAACTATAAGGAACATGAGCGAAGGAAAGTGAAGCGAAATGTGAAAGAGAATGAGGAGCGTGCCGACGCAGTCGCCCAACCTCGTGTTTGGGGGTGTGGCTAAGCAGGGGGAGGGCGGAAAACAATTTGCGAATGTGAGCAGTGCACTAGAGAATAGTGAAGGTGAACGAGAGTGAGAATGTGAAGTGCCATCTTGTGACGATGGCGCCCCGTGTAGGATGCGCGGCTCCCAGGTAAAAAAATAGAGAAAGTGAAGACTGATCACGTTCCTTCCAACTACAGACTCGCTCAAACCAGCTTAGCCATACACGCTCTCCGCTCTTGCTAAGGCTACTTTCGACAACTGCAAGAAACTTTCCGAGGAGGCGTCATCAGTGGGCGCGGTGGCGACCGCTACCGCACTGCTTGCTTCCACGGCCGCCATGATGATGTTACAGCGAGTTCGAGTTGTCTGTGTTTTCCAAAAGTTTAAAGTGCTTCTTTTTCGACCAAGAAGTTTTTTTTGATGGGTACTAGAATCCACTGATTTTCATACTCACAGTAGTAGCTACAGGAGTACTTCTTCAAGCTAATTTACAGGGATTGCAATCTGCATACTTTTTATGAGGAAAAAGAAGACTGAAAATCGATGGTGGAGTGAGCGCTCTACCCCGCTTATTTTCTCCCATATTTATTACGAAATTGTACGACTGCAGTACATATCAAGGGATGAGTGTCTCGCTACTCGGAACAGAGTAAGCAGAAATGATGACGATACACTCTAATTGACGAAACACCCAGCACGGGGTCTCGTCTTTCACTTCTAGGGGCTAACAAGTAGACGAAGATGCTACTAAGAAGACTAAGCTAAGAAGTATGCAGGTTACCGTAGGGATAGGGATCCTACACAGCGACACTAACCTACACTGACTCGCTATATCTAGAAAAAGAGAGGTCAAAAATGGCCCGCATCTGCATCAATCCAGCGGAGAGAAACCAATAACCCTAGTGGTGTACTTGAGTAGTCACATCTAGCAAAGGAGAAACATAATGGGAAGTGGAGTGGACATAGTTGAAGACCTACTCAGTGCACATCATGTGAAGTAGACGAACTTCACAATATAGTCAGTCTCCGTATGGGAAATTCTGGGGATCATTGTAAAAGGAAATGGAAACAACTGTGGGAATTGTGAAAAATGCTCGAGGATCGTTGCGGAACAATGGGAAAAATCCTGGAGGTTGTAAGAGAAAGAGGAAACTATAGAACTGAGTAGCGGTGGATGAGAAAGATTGCGGGATATGATACTTAAAAATGCAACTGTCAGGTTCTAGGAGATGGTTGGTCAGGTAATTCTTGGCAAAACTCACCAATCCTTCACGAGAGAACTAGTACTTCTTACAAAGAGACGCGCATTCACCGAAAGCCATCTTTTCCTCAATTCCTCAACCGATCAGGTGCCAACAGAGAGATCACTGGATACAACAGAAGAAATCTCACACTATCACGTGTCTCTCAAACGTATTAACATAATTTCACCAAATTTTCCCTCGCTCAATTCTCTCTTCCTAGCTTAATACAACAACTGTCTGCACAGTATATAGCCCTCTTCATCTATCTCTCGTTTTTATACTTGACGAATGTGAATCTTCATCTGTGGTTTTTCACGGTTTATCTATATATTTCTTCATGTTTCTTGATGAATGTGAATCATCTGTGGATTTTCACAGTATATTCTTCTTAATAACTCATCTGCTGTTTTTCCGCGAGGAACGTTTCTTCAGTGATGACGTGCAACAGTGACAGACTATTTTTCTACCTGTGCGACTCGATCTACCTGATAAGAATACTGAACTCTTGATCACGCACTGACTTTACACTAGAACAATTTTCAATTCATTCACTCACTAGAACCACGACATAGCAGCTACAAAACTCAATGACAACATACTTATAAGTACATATCATTTAAGAAAAAAGTTCACTCTTCGTCGTCTCCAACAGTAAAAGTCAGTTCGTTGGGATCTAGAGTATGCTTTCGAGCAGCGAACAGGTCCAGTAGGCTCTCAACAAATAGTTTCAGAAAAGCAAAGAGATCCAGGGTTCTCAACTGATAGTTCCAGAAAAAACTAGGTAGTGGATGAATGAACGAAGGTGCCCACTCTTAGGGCTTGTCAGTTATGATAAGTGAACAGGCCAACGCCTAAACCACTAAGCCAACTGCGCAGTTGGCTTAGTGGTTTAGGCGTTGGCTTGTTCACTTATCAAGTTACACTACTATCTGCGACCGTATGTCAGTTACACCATTAGTAGTCTTTGATCAACATAATTCTAAAACATGACAATCAAGTAGACGAGTTCAGCCATTCATAGAGGGAGCTCCTGATGACTAACTTTTTTTTTGGTTTTGGAACTTCTAATGTCAACCCATCAAGCAGTAAATAGTACTGCACGCTCAAAAAAGAAGCTATTGTCGTCCCAACAAACAGTAAATAGTAAACCACGTTCAAAAAAAGAAGCTACCGTCGTCCCAACAAACAGCAAATAGTACTCCATGCTCAAAAAAGAAGCTACTGTCGTCCCATTAAGCAGCAGACTGTGTCCATGCCCAGGCCGCGCAAATTTTGCAGGCTCCAAGCCGATCCGTGTTTTAGAGCTTACCTAAATTCCCAGCTAGAGAGTCTCATCTTTGACGCTTTTCCCCCTTGAAAACGCCAATACGTCATTGATTGGAGGGACTAACCTAGGAAAACAGCAGTTGCACCACGCCAAAGTACATAGTTACAGCTTTTAACTAACTAAGAGATGAGATGAATTCCGGAAAGCCTTAAAGAAAGCTTCATGCAGGCTTTCGTGAGTAAAAGTGGATACGCCAATTCACTCTCTCCAAAATTGAAACCCGGATCCATTTTCGGCTTTGGCATAGGATCTCCTAAGAAATGCTCATCATTCACGTTCTCCGGCTGCATTACTTCAGGACCGTTCTTAGAGCACTTCAGGACCGTTCGCACCTTCCTCTTTGAGAGCAATAATATCCTTGGAAGACACTTCCGTTAGGATCAAGAAGCCTTAGGCCAAGGATCAAGAAGCCTTAGGCCAAGGACCAAGAACCCTTAGGCCAAGGATCAAGAAGCCTTAGGCCAAGGATCATCATCTTGATGTAGGAGGCAGGATGCTTCAGCGGTACTTCTAGGCGTAGCGTTCTCAATCGGGACAAAGTCGCCAAGCAGCAGGTAGTAAACATCTTCTTCAGTACTATCAGTATACATCTGTTGATGAATCACCTGACTAATATCGCCTATGCCCTGATTTTGATTTTTTGTCTTCTGAGCCTAAGAGGCTTTCTCTTCAGTCAGGTTCAGGAACAGAGGTGTAGGGAATTCACCTCAGGAATCGTCTGGCTCTCTTTTGCTTCTAGTTTTGTTCTGCTTCCCTACACCTATAAAAAGTGATATAATGTACGTAGATCTTCCTCCCGCCTTCCATGTCTAATTCTTGGCTTTCGTTCAACCCTAAGGCTCTTGTAGTACATAAAATGACTTAGGATCAGGAGGAAAAGTCCTCAACAGGCTCTTGTAGTACATAAAATGACTTAGGATCAGGAGGAAAAGGCCTCAACAGGCTCTTGATGACTTAGGATCAGGAGGAAAAGTCCTCAACAGGCTCTTGTAGTACATAAAATCAGGATCTCCTTCATGCATTTGTTGTACATAAAATGCTTTCTAGTTTTCATGCGTGTTGCTTCTAGTTTTCTTCATTCGATTTCCCTACGCCCATCACAGAAGTTTCTAGCAATCAGTCTCGGAGTCTCACTAGAGGATTCGCAAACTCCCGCTGGAACTGAGCCAGCTTTTGGTTTTCTGTTTCTGCTGCGCCTCCTTTAGAGGACAGAGTCGCAGAGACATCTCCTTTCGACGGAGAGGCAGAAGGCGCAGAAGCTGAGGTTAAGGTTAAGGACGAGCTTGAGCCTGTCGTACTGCGCATACTTATCCCGGATATAAGTAACCCGTTGAGTGAGTCCGGTGAAGTTCGCAGCAGGTCTGTTAAAGCTGGGTGAATAAACATCATCCATATCCTTGCTTACCTCGCCTCCGAGATGTCCAGGTTGATACTTCCAAACCAACCGAGTACCTTCCACACCATACTGCGAAGAAGTATTTCCTTGCTGTGAAGACCAATGCGGTGAGGATATCACTTGGCCTTGATGTCGTGTCGGAAGTAGACTCTTCGTGTCAATAAGGAGCCCAGTTTCATCTTCGAAGCCTCCTACTTGTTCGTCCAGGAGTTTGTCTTTGTCATCTTCTACCGATGGTCGTGAAACCAATGCAGTCAGTCCCTTCTGTTCTCTTCCTCGAAAGCGAAGTCAGACACACGTAGCGACTCTGCGGGACAAAACGTCGTTGTTGGTGACACGATGGCGACTGGCAAATCCTCTATCAAGTACCATCCGCCAGGCCGCACGAGCCGCCACCAATACGCTAGATTCGCTCGGTTTCCAAGGGATTCGTGTAAGCCATCATCGATCAGCATGTCGAAAGGTCGGCTCAAGGTACGATGGGCGAAGAGATCGATCTCGGTCTTGTTGAAAGAGCTCAGTTTGTGCGCCATTACCCTCCCTCATCTAGAAACGTCAGATCCTCCTGCAGCGGCGGCCGCGTTTGTCAAGCGCACACTATCCCCAGATATATCGAACCCATGGATTTGAGCACGCGGAAAAAAGTCGTCCCAGGCGCGCAATCCTCCTCCTGGTGCGTAAAACCTGCGCCACTCCTTTACTTCCGCAAGCTCTCGCAACGACATTTTTGTTGACGGGCTCTGCTCCGCCGGAGTGTCCCTCCATCTTCGATACCGGTTTCGGCCATTCTATCACCTCATCCTGCGTTGTCTTCTGAGTGTTTCTGTCCGTAACTGAAGACACCACTCCGTTTTTTCCGGCTTTTTGAAAAGCAGAGACCTTTTCAACTGTCGCCTCTCTCTCTCTGCGAAGCAGAGGCGTTTTCGTCGGCAGAGAATGTACTAGCAGTGACCTTTTCGTCGGCAGAGGTTGCAATAGCAGATTGCATTTGATATACTAAAGGTCTATCCTGCAACGGCCCCACCCCAATTTCGCCCACAAGTTGTACATCACAACGTTAGACCTACCATAAATCCATCTTCAAGAGCATCCTCGCGCCCCTTTTCCCTTTCAAAACGGGACCAGGATGCCTGTGAAGATGGATTTCTTATAGCCTTAACAACGCTCCTCGTTCAGAAACAATCGATCGTAGAGAAAACCATAGTTGTGCTGTGGAGTGCCCCTATCGGACCGGTGGTAGTCGAAAAGGAGATTTAATATCCCGTCATTGTGAGCATGAGCAAACTCTTTGTTGTTTTAGAGTTGTTCATCTGCGTTAATCGACGACCGCATTGAAGACAAGGAGAGGCTAGCCGCGAAATGAGAGCGAAGCAAGCGTCCGGCAGGGCGGCCATCGAAATTGCCCCCATCCCGCTCATCGCATTCGTCCTTGAGGGCTGCACGGATCACCTTCGCCTCTTCCAAAAATGCTGACGCAATTTCATCGGTAAAACAAGCAGCCCCAGCCTGTCCTTCGGTCCCGTAGAATCCTTACAATAGAGCTCGCTTCCGACCGTCGTTCTCATCTCTGTCGATCTCCACGTATATTTCCGCATGAATGGGGACGTAACTACAGGAGAAAGCCAAGAGGCGCCACACGCGAGAGACCATACTAGCATCCATTCACGTCAACGAGAGACGCAAAGCCACGATCTGACTGAGACGGGGTAGTGAGGTAACGACGCAGAGCCACGATCTGACGGAGGCAATGAGGTCAGACGCAAAACTATGATCTGAGTGACCTCATGATCTGACTAGAGAGCGACTTCAAGAGGACCTACCAATTACATGGGGAGAAAAGGGCATTGTGGGGTATCGTGGGACATGGCGGATGTATATGATATCCTAAACATGATTCCGTCACAATTGTATACAACATGAACATCTACCTTGGCAAGCATAAGACCGTGACGCATTCATTCCTTCATGCTGCCGTCGATACGATCGAGCTCGATGATTGTTTTTCTTGTCCTACTGTATTGACATTAAGACCGCGTCCGTTGTAATTGACTTACGCATAACATACAAGAGGCTCTACCCATAGACTGACAAGGCGAGCAGGAGCTCTCGAAAAAATCATATGAAGCAAGTGCAGTCCAATTCTTCTGAGTTACTCTGTAACTCGAAACTGCAGCAACACAGCGCAAAATGCATAGAACTGAGAATCCAGATCAAGTAGTCCTCTTGAGAACGGCTGTAGAGACGTGCTTCACGGTTTAACACGGGTCCTATACTCCCCTCTACTCTTCTATGGATGCAGTTTTCTCTCCCCTCTGAGTCACGGCTATCGCTGTTGTCCCCTTGCAAGCAAGGATGTAGTCTTTTCTTCTTACGGCTATGAATGTAGTTTTCTCTTCTTACGGCTATGGATGTCTTCATCACGGAGGCTCCGTTTTCTTGAGCCTCGATGGACTCTCTAATAGAGGAACTTACTCGCCGTCCACAGGGAAGCCCTCCGCGTTTTCGGTAGGGTTCTGGCCTACTTTTCATTCATTCGTGTGCCCAACCCTGTCCTTCTTTTTTGGTACCTGGGTCTACAATTCTCGCTTATTCTGCCCCACGGCCTGATCTCGAAGCCAACGGGCAGCATTCTACTGTCGAGAGACCCGGTTGGCTACTGCAGCTGCTGGTTAGATATTTCAACTAGAGCTGGTGGTAGATATTTCACTAGAGCCAAAACCAACTAGAGCTGTTGGTAGATATTTCAACAGTCGATCCCTCCTCTTGCTGCCTCACCTTGCTGCGTCTGGAGTCGACACGCACCTTACTGCAGCGCTAGAGCTCGCTGCTCTCCTGGGTGCAGGGAGATGCAGAAACCTCGCACTTATCTTCTTCCAGCAATAAATTTTTACACAGTAGCTCGCATTTGTGCGAAAAGATGCATCACCCTGGCAATCGATATGGCGATCTCGCCTTTTTTTCTTGTGCAGTCGTGGCTTCAATAATTTATTATTCTTTTCTCCAAAAAATGTGTTAAGTACATCTGAGTGCTCATATGTTGTTGTAGTTCGTAAATTTTCACTTCATGCTGATGACATAATACCCAAGCTCAACCTTTTCTTTGGTGGGTCAAAATAAATTCAAACTATATTTTTCAGAATAGTTGACTCTCATTGTTGTAATGAGTAGTTTCCAATTCCTCTTTGTTCATTTTAAGTCTAGTTTTTTCTTGAAAAACAAAAATTCTAATTCGACAAAGGTCGCACAGCCGTGATCTTTTCCGTCAGTGACGATGATTCGAGTCCTCGGCAACTATGCATCATTGTCGTGATCACTTCTGACTGATTGTACTTATACAACATGCAACTCTGGCTACCTCCAATATTGCTTGTTTAGTTCTTCCTTGTACATGATCACACTTACAACTACAGATACTTGACTGTGCGGAGCACTTCGTATCTTCCCGCTAGCTCCAATATCAATATCACAATCATCTTGCCAACAATTCATTTCAAAAATTGATTTCTACTTCCAAAAATTTTAAAATCCGATCTACGTACAGTCACAGCACTATCCAAAATTTCCAAAGTCCTGATCTTCTCAATCCACATCCACTTAAGGCGTAACCGAGAAACTACTTCTAGGAACTGTTTCTAAAATCTTTACACAAGGAAGTCAGTCTCCTCCAAAACTACTTCTGAGAGTTGTAGTGTAAGTCAGTCTGTCACTGTCTCTGATCTAAGAACATAGCTACTTCTGAGGGACGTGTGGCCCCCATCTTCCTTTGTCATGTGTGTATCCCTGATAGAGGTAAGTCCTGATCGGGATATTTTTTTTTTGCGTTAGGACTAGTATATGCCACCGCGCTTTCAATCAATTAATTAACATGCTCAACTAAGATCATCCAAGTTACATAATGGGGGCGCATAAGACCGCACAATCGGCCACAAATCTTTTACGTATGCCTGCTTCTAAGATGTGCGCTGACTGAGAATCTCAATCCAAGTAAATCCATACTGTTTTTCTTTTTTTGTATCGCAAGCGAGTTCCGTAAAGAACCTGCCTACATATTTTCCGCGTGGATACCGGCATAGGGGGGAGTTCTTAATCTCCTTATCAATACTAAGGAAAGTAGAAGTCTTCAGATTAAATACCATTGTGCGCTATCCGCGTTCGAGCTTCTACTTTTTATGCATCAGTATCCTATGGCTTTGCTTTAATAATAAGCGAAGATATACAAATACATGATATACGCCATATTCAAAGCATAGCTCTACCCTCCCTGAATTCCATCTCAATGTTCCTAAGAAATAGACTGAGTACTTTCCCGCCTCCATTGTAGTACTTACACGTTGATCACGACAACGCGATCCATCTTCACAACATGATCCAGGCACTCTGCTAGCCCCTCGCATGGCACCGATGAACCGCCAAACGCAACACAGCGGCCGCAGCAAAGACGCAAATCAAAAGCAGCAAACTCGACTCACCCGGCAGCGCTGTTGTGTTAGAGTCTTCCAAGTATCTAGTCCGATAAGATTCCCTTTGAGGCTTCTAAATCAATCACAAGCTTAGCCTGCGTCTGTTTCATGCATCCTTAAGAGTAATGCGTATCCTATAGGGTAACACTATCACTATTATTTATTCATCCTTTAGACTCATACGCATACTCATACGCATATGCATCCTTGAGGGCCCTTGAGATTCAACATGTTGTATCCTTGACACTCAACATGTATCCTTGAGACTCAACATGCATCCCTGAGACTCAACATGCATCCTTGAGNTGTCGGTGCCCCAGAGGATGCTGCCGCCGGACGCTTAGACGAGGAGCTGCTACTATTACCCTCCATTTTTAGTATTCCCACAGGTCTACAAACGATCCCTTACTGCTTCTTGGAAACGTTCGTTCCTTCGCGAGGTCAAGGGCTCCTTGACCTCACAACAGTGTTGTCCCAACTTCTACTTGTAGGTTTCCTCCTTGCCCTACCCTCCAACTTTGTGCTGCAGGTGTTTCGTTCCTACCGTGGTCACCGTTGAAAAACGCTCCTTAAAACCTTGCACTCAACAGCTGCTTTCTATTCTCATCGCTCTTGACACTAGTTTCGTGATTAGTGCCGATCGTGGCCGCAAGGTCTAACAAATTACGCGGATGCTCTCACTTTGTGAAGTGGCAGAACACTGCCCCCGTGGTGGTTTTGTAGTGATATCGTTTTGATTATGATTTGTTATTGTTTGTTTTAACAGTTTTGGATGCTGTTATCTGTAGTCCATCTACATGTCCTGTGGATAATCCATAGTACATATTTCGAACAATCGACTCAGAAGCCCTACAGTTTTTTATGGGGGGAATTGCGGTAAGATCAAGATACTCCGTGGGTTGAATGGGAAATGATATTACTGCCAACAATGGCCTGTCAAAAGTGTGGTTAGGTTGATGTTTTCTTATGATTGAAACGGAGTTGCATCAATGCTTAACACAATTTCAATGGTGTTGCTCATACATATACGAATTTCAGTACTGATAACAACGGGATTGCCTCTAAGTTACATGACGACTGCCTCTAGATCTCGATAATGCGCCGACAACGATGCATCTCAGATTTCGACATTTCAGCATTCATTTCAACTCATATCTCGTTGATGGATTTCAAAGCTGTACTCGTTACATCTCAACACGGAGTCACCACGTCTTCATCGCCGATGGCTACTCACTCGTTTACGGGTGCGAACACTCTGTTTTTGTGCCATATGTCGTTTCTACAATCGGAAGATCCTACAGCCGGTGACTACTCCTTGTCTGCCATCACCATGACTCCAGGAGTAATACACGCGGGTGTGGCACCTTTCATGCTACTATTTGTACTTTGTATTTAGGTCTTTTTACTTCTTCGGACGTCTCAGATAGCGGTGTGACAGATTTCAGCCCTTGGCTCATGTAGTAGTGGCGTTGACAACTAAGGGCTGCCCCATACTAGTTTGAACGTAGTACTTCATGGTCTTTTCTTTACGGTAAGAGACATCACGTTTGTTAGGGATTCCCACACACAGAGTTCCCGCTTGCACATAATGCTCAGAATTTCCATCGTTTTTTGATAAAATGCGAAAGAATGAAAATCCTCGGGCAATTGCATCAAAAAAAAGCCGCGCCCGTGGCTTTAATCGGACGCCGAAGCCGCCCGAGGAGCTAACTAAAAACAACAAACCAAGAGGCCCGGCCTCGAAAATCAGAAGAACAAAAAACAAAAACGGCCGAAATAAAGCAGCGGCCTAATGTTGCCAACTCATCCCATTCCCCGCGGAATCTAGTGGGGGCAGGATAATTATTCGGCTGCAAATGGTTCGTCCAATATTTTAAAGCAATGCCCTAAGTGCGGGAATGGTTTTCGCGTGAATATTTTGAAATAAGCTGGAAAGCTGCGCACTCAGTTCGCGCCATGCGGGAAGCGAACTCGATGCGAGGGCTTCGGCATGCTTGTCGAGTTCTGCGGTGGATTCTTCTTGTGGGGCTATCTGAGCGAGCACATGCCAGCACGCTCCTCATTAAAAAAGAAAGCTCTGACCTTTAAACGTGGCAGCTTTTTGATAAAACCGCGCGCGCCTGTCTCATCCATCTGCTTGGACTTCTTTCATTTCGCGAGACATGTGGGGGAGGTCGCTGCCGTCTTGTGTTTCTCTGGCTTAGCTTGTTTCTGTCCCAGTTTGGTCGGTTTGTGTTCTTCTGGCCTGGCTGCTCTTGTGTTCTGGGTCTTCTCGTGTGTTCTCCTCGTGTGCTCTTGCCGCGTGCCTAGTCTCTGCGCCGTGGCGCGCCGTCTCTCTGGTGGCCGTAGGCCGCCAGGGACGAGGGGGCAACGCGTGACCATCTCGCCCCCCGCCCCCCTTGTACA